GCGGGATAGGGTCTCTTTCTGTCACGTGCCTCGCGCCATATACTCCGTGCGTCGCTTGCCTCAAATTTTCCCCAAGCCATTCCTTAATATGTATAAATTCTGAAGAAAAAAATTGTCGTGAAATCGTCTTTCATGTTAAGTGAAATTTTTTTTATGCGTCGCACCTAAATTGCGCACTGAAAAGAGTGCCATTTCTTTGTGGCCATCCCGTGTAACCGTTAAGGGAGAAGCGCGAAGAGATACAAAAAATAAGGCTAGGTAGAACGGTAAAAAAAAAAGGTGAAATTTTAAAAATGTCTTCAATAATTCCGCACGTAGCCCCATTGAACATTTCTCACATATTTCTGGAACATCACCAAGAACAAACCTCTCCTTAAGGAGAGGTTTGTTCATGGTTAAGGCTTGCTTACCAGTGGCAGCAGGCCATAATGCGACATGATTTTTTATGTTTTCCCTTGAATTCGATTTGGTTCATGAGTCATCACTTCATTTATGTGAAATCGATCGTTCAATGTGAGCAATATCGTATTATCTGAAAGCTGGGGTGGCTGGGAATATGATCGACCTTGGCCAACAAATTGTTTATACCTTCCAGAAAACCGGTCCGAAATAGCGGCAAAAAATGAAAATGAACGGTGACGAGTACACAATCCAATCTTATTAATGTGTATTTTGAGCATGGTAGCGATCAGTCGCTCGTCTGAAGAAACGCTACCGTGCAGGTTTAAATGCAGCGACCTGCATGAAATGTGACTCCGATAGCAAGAGATGACACCCAGGTCTCCCATTCCCTCGGGAAGTCCGCGCGAAACAGCCCGAGGATGTCCCAGGAGTCTTCCATCGTGGGAGAATCCTGGGAAACCACATGCTGACTTTGGCGCTACTCCACGGTCATCAGCGCATCCTTCAGGAGACTTTCGGACGTCCGTTGCTGGAGAATCGCACGTCCCGTGGAGCTACTATGCATCGATCCCAAAGACATCCAGATGCATTCTCCCTAGAGATGCATTCCTGGCATATATTCCTGGGACTCATCCCCTGGACGAATGCCTGGGACGCATCCGTAGGACGCATCCCTGGAACGCATCCCTGCAATATTCATGCCCTTTTGCTATCGCAAGCGTGATACTTCTCTGTCTTTTAAAGCAAGGTTAAAAGAGAAGGAGGATGACTTTTTCTTCCATCCATCAGCACTCATCCCGATACAGACATTTTGCTCGGTCCATTTCATTTCTCATCGGCGTCGTGCATCACATCTATTTACTTACTATTTACATATTTAAGCGAGAAAAATACCCTGCAAGGTGTCCGAATAGAAAATCGTGCTGGAAGCATACTAGATAAGTTTCCGTCGCACCCACATCATTCTTGCACATCGACTCCAAATTTCTTCCAAGTTTTCTGCAGGACCCTCAAATCCCTCCAAATTTAATTTCCGACCTGAAAAATTAAAATGAAAGAATTATCAACGCTTTCCCTATGTTTACGTTGTCGATGCGCTATCAATCATCAATCAAAATCCAAAATGTCAATATAGAATCGATTTAAAAAAGAGTGAATGTTTGTGAAATTCCCGAAATAGGAGCAGAGCAAATTTCAATTGAATTTTTTGGACTGCGCTGAGGAATTCGCTGAGGAATTCGCAGGAAAAATTTTGGTTTCCAAAAAAAGTGGAAAAAATTAATCCATCATTCGCGCAACTATTTTGTTGTAATGGATCTTATATATTTAGTATCGCTGGGCACCGTTTCCGCGATTGAAATAACCCGATAAACCAAACATTTCAGCATTACCAAATGGTGACAAAGAAAAATAATAGTGCTGAGCATAGTGTTCCTCAGTTTTGCCATGAAATAAATTATCCTCATGAGGAATTCTTTTTCTTCTCTTTTTCAGATATGTAAATGCATCCCAAATATTGGATGCAGACGAATAGGATGCATGATGATAGTGGCGATAATAATGGCAAAACCGAATCTGCATCCCCAGATGGGGATGCCAGGGAAGCCAGATGTAAGCCAGATGCAGAAGTGTTGGCTGTCGCCCTTGCACAGATGTGGGGCCGACGCGGGCAGCCCACTGCAATGTGGGCCAACGGCCCCTCACTCGCAGCCAACGTGGGCCCAAGGTCCTGTGCTGCCTGAGTTATCATTACCATGCACCGATATTCTAATAAAAACCTATGCGGTGGGGGTCAACCCGGCAGGGAAATAGAAAATGGAATCGCCCGAAATCCCGAATCCCATTCGAGTCGGCGACATGGACCTCCTCGGCCCAAATCGAGGCAGAGGGCCCACAGCCCTCCATTGCTGATTCAATTCGTGTCTTAGCAAGAAGGGGACGGGCCCTTAGGGAATGCGTGAGACGTGAGTCAAGAAGGGCCGGGCGGCCTTGGGTCTCGGGATCCGTCCGGGCGAACGACTGTTTTTATCCCCATCACTACTTTTTCTTGGAAAGGTAAATTGGAAACTGCGTCTCGATATCAAACAGGACCCATCTCCCCCCAAATGATAAAAACGCACGGCGTCGTGAGACTCGGAGAAGCCGGGATCCCAGCGTCCCGCGTCGTCGGCCCTGGTCGATCGCTCGACGGCCCCGGAGCGGTGGAGCGACTCGACCTCCGTTTCCGCCTTGGTCGTCTTCGCGCTCCCTCCTCCTCCCGTCTCGCTCTTCATCCGCTCCGGCTGAAGGCCGCTGCCGAAGAGAGTACGTTCCAGTTTCCATTGCATTGCCTCCAAAGAATCGTCGGAATTGAAATGACCTGTCGACCGGTGTATGCGTCCCGAGGGCGTCGAGATCGATCTTCATGAGTTTCGGCGGCCGACTCGTTCAGGCAGCGTCTGAAGGGAAATCGACAAGCGTTCGAACTTATCCACTGAAGATGCCGAAGGAAGCTCATTTCTTGCTTTGTTTTTTTTTTTTTGGTTTGTTTATTGTATTGCTCTTGGAATCGCGAGAATTTTCGAGATGGGATGCGGAGAGCGAAGAATCGAAAGAATCCTCCAAAATTGCTTCCGATCACCCGTTTCCGGGTCTTAAGCTTATTTCATGTTCATCGCTAAATTCAACAGCAAATTACAATTCATTGTTTTCATGCGTACTTCATCCACTAACTCTGATTTTGGAGCATCTGAGCAGGAGAAACGGCGAGGGGAGATCCATCGGGACTGACGCCAATCGATTTGGAATCGGCCCTGGTGCCGTTCTCCATCTGCATGGAGAGTCGCGTGCCGGCTTTACTCCGTTTTCAGAGACGACACGGAAGTCGACCTTAAGCACGTTGTCCTGCCAGGAGGCTTACCTTCCGACGTTTTCTGCCGGTCAGCTCCCGGACATCCCTCAGGAGGGCGTCGACGACGGCCGTCTGCTCGGCTTGCCGCTGGAAGTGCATCGCGATCTTGTCGCTGTAATTCTTCGCTGACGACATGCCGACCTCCTCGACGATCCGACCCGCGGTACGATCCTCACCTGAAGTGAGGATATGAAATGAGAACCTTCTGAGGTGACGTCCCGTGATTCAGCTTTCCCTGTTCTTCGCCGCTCCCCGTCGCGAAACGAAAATATTCCTCCGCCACTTGGCATTTCTCATCGACGAGATGCAGAATCCGATTTGGCGTTCTTCAGGCCAGAATTCCTCCAGTTACAAGCTGCGGTTGACACTTCACGGAAATGTCAACCACAAAACCATGAAACCTGAACTTCTAAGAATCTCGTAAAGGCGCGTATTTCCTGAGAGTTCAACACTTCTTACGTTTTATGACAAGAAAATCAGCTGGTTTTATATTCCCGATTCCTCTCATTTCATTCCTTGATCAATCACCTCCGTTCGAGCAATCACTTCGTTCAAGGAATCACCTCGTCCAAGGAATCGCCTCCGCTCGAGCAATCACTTCGTTCGAGGAATCACCTCCGCGAGCGCGAGCGAGTCATGCTTGGGATGGCTGGCTGACGCGGGGCCGGATAAGCGACGTTGGCGTCGGACCGTACTTCCAAATTTTTTTTTCGCTCCTGATTGCCGATCCGGTACGGAATCCTGAAACTTGGCGCGTAAAAAGCTGCTGATGCTCAGTTCAAGAAAGAGAATCACATCCCGGAAATCGCCATCGTCTGGACTGCATGCCGGTTCGCCTCGCATCGAACGCGAAAGATTTATTTGACTATTGTTTGGAAAACACAAATGAAAATAAAATAAAATAATTAAATGATGGAAGTTTCCCTTCGCTTTGCAAAAATATATTATTATAATTATTATAATATACTTTTTCCTTATTATAGTTAATATTCGTGTTCTTTTTTAAAATAAATAGTGCTATGCCGTCATTATTGTTATCGTTATAATTTATTTTTTCAATTTCTATTCGGTTTCATGAGATGAATTGGATACTTTCTCGGGATGAAAAATAATTTAGCTCCCTAAATTTTTCGTTCCTTTCTCAGGAGGAAAGGGAAAAAAAAGCTTGATTTATTCTCCCCCCCCCCCTCCCCCTCCGCTCGCGCTACGCGAGCGGAATGGAATGACAGCGACACGCGAACGTCAGCGCAAAGCAGGAAAGGAAGTCGCTATGGTGGACGAAGCGTGCGTTTTCCTCGAAGGAGATTTTCTGCCTCTACTCTCCTGGTTTAGCTCATGAAGGCTCCAGAATCCCAAAAGGAAGGAATTTTCCGAAAACTTTGGAAAGGATCCTGCCGGTTGAAATCGGACAAATTCACTCGATTTGGATCCTCGTTTGTGCGCCAATCGCTCTCTCGGTTGCATGTTTTTCCGGATTGAGAGGCACGGAACGCTGTTCCCGGAATTAACTTTTAATCGGGGTCGGTGATATCCTGTGGAGTAAATGTCGCGAAAACTAGAATGACCGAATGGAAAAATATTCGTGTCCGATCCCCCCTCGACAGAACCGGCAAACAAGGTATTATGCTGGACAGAATATCTAGAAACGCGAGTGGGATTGCGTTGGATGAAATTATATAGAGTTCATCCTTTTCAAACCTGAAAAAGCGACAGTAAAAAAGTAATAATTATATTTGCAAAAAATCATTTTATGCATGTTAAAATTATGCATATTCCATAATATATAATATTATATATTTTATATGTATATGTATTATATATTATATTAAGGATATGAATAAGGTGTTCACTCATGAAATATGCTTTGTTTTCATCGCCTGCGACTAGAAGAGAGGAGAAGCGGACTCACTTGGGGCGTGAAAAGCGACGGACGTGCAATGAATGTCAGCGCTCGCGTCTTCCCGGGACGAGCGAAGGAACGGGAAGGAGGGCGAGAGGGAGGGCTCGGCGCGAGGGAACCGCGGGAGTCGCGTCGCTTCGTCGATTCGCTCCCGTCTCGGCGATGCGAAATGAACTCCTGCACGGAAAGTGGAATATTTTTACTCGCGGAAAATGTTGGCAACATTCGGAGCAATGCGGATTAATTTGGCAACATTCGGAGCAATGCGGATTAATTTGGCAACATTCGGAGCAATGCGGATTAATTTGGCAACATTCGGAGCAATGCGGATTAATTTGGCAACATTCGGAGCAATGCGGATTAATTTGGCAACATTCGGAGCAATGCGGATTAATTTGGTAACATTCGGAGCAATGCGGATTAAATTGGCAACATTCGGAGCAGTACGGATTAATTTGGCAACATTCGGAGCAGTGCGGATTAATTTGGCAACATTTTCAGACGTTCGGATCGCATCGGAAACTTCTCCCAACTGAAACTTGGAAAAATGCGGGATATTTGGTACCTGCTTGCAAATTCGTTCATCGTAATTCGGGACTCTTTCGGTCTTAGTTGGCGCGGGATCAGTCAATTTCATTATCTTAATCAGTTGGAATCGCCAATTTTGCTGATTGCGAAATGGACATGTGCGGAATGTTGTCGCCGAATCGGGACATGTGAACCTTTCCCACGCGAGCAGCGTTAATTAACGTGAAAAATGTGCAAAATTAATTTTCATGCAAAATCAATGTCAAGTTTTCGTCCAAAAAAAAAAAGAAATTCATTTTCACTTCCAGCATTCATTTGCACATGAGAAATGCTTCCTCATGCAATAATGTTTACGGGTTTTGAACTCCAATCGAATAAAATATGCAGGGGAGAGCCAAAAAAAAAATTGAAATTCGATTTTTGGCGAATTTCCAACTGCTGGGGTCTCCAAGCAGTTTCCGGAGGAAGCAGCCGATTAATATTAATTGTATTGAGCGACCATAGATCTTACCTGCAACGATTGGCTGCAATAATCTCCTGCAATAATTGTCTCCGAGGCGTATCCAATTGCGAACCCATAAAAGAAAAATGGGCTGAAAACGAAATTACCCCCGAAAAGCATCCCAACTCAGTCGTAAAAAGTCCCAGACGGCGTGGCAGAGACTTTTTCACGGATGGAAGTTGCGAGACGTTCGAAGGAGGCTCGAGGAGGAAGAAAGACCCCTCCCCGCGTGCCAGCGGCAATCGCTTCCCCGTCGCTGGCACCGGCGTCGTCGCGGGAGCGAACGATGGCGGCTCGACGAAAGCCGGTCGAAGCAGGAGTCGCGGCGTGCGTTGCGTGCGAGGATCGATCCGTGAGGCTTAAAAAAATGAAAAACAGAACGCTATCCGAAAACGCTTTGTCTCCCTGGGATTGCAGAGAACCTCTCGCTTGTTAAGGATGTGATCAAAATTGTTTTTTGGTTTGTTTTGTTTTCTTTTTTCCCCCTCTCTTCCCCCTCTGGGTAACCAGTCATAGGGATTTCGAAGAAAGGCAATGCACCCATTTGGCAAGAGAAATGGAGTCACCTGTTGTTAGTCGGCGTGCCCCGTCCCGCGCCACAGGGTTGTCAGATTCCGTGAAGGAATCACGTCGGATCCCCAAGTGCTTCTGCTTCCCCATCGCTGCCGCACCTTTCGGCTTCCCCGATCCTCTCATTTCAACGCGTGACGCCCTCTCCGCGCCGAGTTCATGGAGTCGGGCGAGGCGGGAAGCAGGCGGCCAGGAGCGGACGAGAGACGTGATGAGCCACGGGCATCACTGCGCAAAATGGCGACAGCATCGAGGAAAGGCTGAAATGTTGAAATTTGGTTGGAACCCTGAAAATTGGACGAAAATTCAACATCGATCAAGTACTAGCTATTGGTAATTAACTATTGCATAGTAATTAATATTTATTGTTAATTACTAAGTATTGGTAATTAATAATTATTGGAAATTTTCCACATTTGGTGAATTAGGGAATTAGCGAAGTCATTCAGTGGCTATGAGGACCAACTTGGTTTTTCTCAAACTTGTTTCTATGTATGAACATCATCAAATAGGTTTTACGAATCGACGCGAGATGGCGCCTAACCGCCAATTCCGCGATTCTTACCCTGATGCCCGGAAATAAGCAGTAGCCTGAAAATTTTCATACGGTACCCGATCTGATCCCATTTACAAGGTAAGGGAGGGTAAAGGAATTTCTGTTTGAGGAGTCAAGAGTCAAGAGAGTTAATAATATCAAGAGGTGATTTCGCCCATTTCGATATCACGTATCGTGGTCGAGCATTCCTTAATTTTAGGGTAGGCCTAACCCTCCGAAAACTAAATATTTTTGTATTTTTGTTTTGTTTTGTTTTGTTTTTTTTTTTTTGTTTACTA